CACACACTTCCTCCAGCGGAGACTGCAGCACCCTCCTGCAAGTCTCACCCTTCAACTTCCCTTTGACTACTGTGCCACGGACACAGGAGCCTGATGGCAAAGACTGCGAGGACTCTGCTCAGCGGACTCACCTTCGCACCAGCTGCGCTGGGAAACGTGGAAACAGTCGAGCTACTCACCTAAAATGTTTTCGTGCCGCAGCAACACAGTGTTGTACAGTTCAGTTTCCCTGAACCAGGATTTTTCATCCCTGGAAGAGAAGATCTTCACAGCAACGTTCTCCCCTTGCCACTGACCCCTCCAAACTTCTCCGTAACGGCCCTTTCCTGGTGGGAGGAAACACAATAAAAGCTGTCAACAAAGAGCCCTCAGGGGTCAGGAGGACAGGATTAGTTCCTGGGATGGAAGCTCAACAGCTATGGCCCAAATATAATGCTGATGTAGTCTGACCCCACCTTCAGGCACTTTTTACCACTTCTACAGTCACCTCTGCTCCACGGTTACTTATTATTTCCTCCTGGCTTCAACTGCAAGCTCTGAGCTTACGGCTCTCTCCTCCTCACACGTGGGTGCAGTATACAGGTGTACTGGGCAGGTGCAACTATTCAACTACTACAAGTGCTCCTGCAGCTTGAGCTACACACTACAAGGTCCCTGTACACAAGACATCTGTGAATTCTGAAGTTCGGAGGACAGGAAGGATATCACACGTGAGATGCAGCCCTACACCAGCCCCTGCAAAACCAGCACAGCCAGACACACAGAATGCAGAATGACAACGCAAAGGAAACCCCAAGACCCCACCCGCAAACAAAAAAGGATAAAGAAAAACCCCTAAAACCCCACCCCTGCCCAGTGGGGATCAGGCACACCGTCCACATGCCAAGCTTTTTGCCCAAACAGCTCGGAAGAACGTACGAGATCACCGCGTGCCCAACAGCACAGCATCACCCTGGACAAGGCGCACTGGGAAAGCACTGACCATTTCCACCTTCAGCACAGCCTGAACACCATCACCGCAGGCTTCGTGTCACGACAGGCGCTAGGTCTGACAGCCACAGGCCTCCAGGTGCTGCCCCTCACTGCTCTGCGCTGGGCGTGCGCGAACACCGACACCTCAGCGCTGCCACCCAGAAGGGACTCCCTGCACAAGCGCCTTCCCCTGGTCCGGCCACACAGGCTACAGCACACGCTCTCTGGAGACAGTGCCAGCCCGAGTTAGCACGGCAGCAGGCAGAATTCCAGAGACACACACGCTCACGTGCGTGTACAGGCAAAAAAAGGTGTCTCTACCGCAGGGAAAGCAGTCCCACATCATCCTGCAGCAGAGCACCAGAGGACCTACACCTGGATTTGCTGCAGGCGTGACCACTCGTGCCTACTCACCACACACTGCAAGCCCAAAGCAGAGCCTCGCTGTACCACGTAGGCCCAGTCCCTACAGATTCATCTGGCCTAGGCTGGGGCTTAATTTCACACCCTGACGAGTTAAAGCTTCCAGTGACTTACAGGAAGGTGCTAACCCTTTCTGGATTCAGGTCACTGAAGCAGCAGTATAAACCACATTTAAAACAGGGGTTTTCTCTAACAGAGTCCATCCCCATTGCACCTTCCTCCTCTCTTCAGTGCCAGCATGGCATCTGGGCCCAACGCCTCTGCCTCGGGATAGCTTTGACCCAAACACTTCCTCAAATAACTGAATTCCAGTTTAGCACTGTTCAATTAATATTATATGCATGCTGAAGAAAAATCTGATGGATCCTTAAAATTAACACTCAACTGAAAAAAAGCCCTGAAGAGCCAGGAGAGCTTTAGGGAAGAATCACTGGAGAGATTCTGCAACAGCAGCACTCCACTGCCCACATGGTCCCAAGGCGTCACCAACGCCATGTTACCCTTCTAATGGCACAGCACCACATGTGGTTCCCGTAATGCCCCTTAGGCACTTGGCTTGATGCTTCAGGTCCAGATCCCAAATCCTGATGATCCTTCTGTAATTCCAAAGCTTTCCAACTGACCACCATTTAACACCACCTCAACATCAGCAAGTGTTTCCTCTGACAGTTCTGGACTTCAGCTTGCACTTGCTGTTCCGAGGACATGGTTTATTGTGCATCCCACGTACCCAGACAAGCCCAGTCTGTGTTTTCTAGCACTGCCTTGCCAAGCAACGCTTTAGCTCGTGCCATCATGAAGCACAGATGATCTCTGCCCCTTTCTCCTGCACAGATCTCATAGCTCCGAGTGCCATTTGCTGCACAAGCGACTGAGGAAAGCCAGGTCACTGGGACGGGAGCCAAAGCCGCCCCTCTGACCTTGCCACCCAGGCTTGGCAGGATGTGAACAGGGGTCATACTAACCTACACACTCTACCAGCGTGATCTGGCGAGCCACCGTTCTTTGCACCAAGAAGGGAAGTCCAGAACCGCTTCCAGATGTGCAGGAATGATCCAATAAATCCTGTGCAAAAGGAAAAGCAGACGTTTATAACCTGTGAGAAACCAGGCTTTCTCCCCGTTTAAACAGACAGAGGGGCACCCCTTCACGGGGCAGGCTAAGGTACAGCTCATCAGTACGTCAACGGCTCCCGCGATGCCGTTCCACCACTCCGGATGGGGACACGCTGTTCCATCACCGCACGGACGGACGGGGAAGGGTCTCTGCAGGATTCTGCCACGGGAGGAACATCCCATGCAGAGAAGGGACTGGCGGGGGAGCCACAGCTCACGAGTCCCCATCCGCGGACAGCCCTGCGCACACCACCGGCTGCAGAGGACACAAGCACTGGTTCTGCTCAGAGTTCTTGTCCTGTCTCTCTTGGCACTACAGTGCCACTGTGATTAGTAAATCAGTCAATACATCAGTAAGTGTACAGCCTGCGAGCCCGCAAGCTCGCTCGCAGCCCATGAGCCGTCCTCGACAGTGAGATTCCACCCTTCTCCAGCACCCTGTTCTCTCGATTCTGCATCTGTCACCTATTTCAAAAAGGCCAAGATCAACTTTCCCAAAAATGCTGGGTCTTGCAATAATTTGAGCCACCCCAATAGGAAATAAACTCATTTTCACTGATTTCTCCTACACCCAGGGCCTTCGTCCCCATACAGTTCGAAGAGAGAAAGCAACCACCGAGCTTGGAACACTGACACAGGCTTGGCCCATTCCCCCAGCCACCTGCGGGTCCTTCCCAGTAAGGCGACCAGGAGGGCACAAACACCACTGTGTTTCCACTGATCAGAGCTCAGGCCACGTCCCAGCCCCCCAGTCTGCAGCGTCACACACTCAAACTCCATTTCACATCTCCCTGTGGGTGAAGGTGAGGAAGGGGAAGAAGCCACACGCCCCTGCGAAGCGGAGCCTCGGCCGTACCGGAGCAGGAGGAAGGTGGCAGCAGCGATCCCCGCGGCCCGGCTCCGGGGTGCCCCACTGGCACACGGCTGGTTAACCGCTGCCAGTGCTCTCTGGGGTCTCGCTGAGCTGCAGGCTCCCCCCCGCCCCCCCCAGAGAAGAACAGGCATCCAACAGGCCGTGTCACCCGTCAGGGCGCAGAGACGCCCCCAGAACCACATGGCATCTCGAGGGCAGACACCTCTACTTTAGCAACTGAATCCCAAAAGTAAGGGCAAAGACCTAACTTAGGAACAACAAAGAGAACCCAAACCATACAAGACTTGGCTGTGCTGCAGGTAACCCGACAGGCCGCGATGCGCAGGTGCTGCAGGGGGTGTATGGCAACAGCTGCCAGCCCCCGGACCTTCGCAGGGAAGGGAAGGGGCGATCTGTGCTTCAGGTAGAGCTCACGTGGCATACATTACGCAGCAAACTGAGATCGCTGGGAGTCACAGCTCGCCAGCCCAGGCTCTTTGCTATCCCCTCGCTCTGTCCCCATCCACTTTTCTGTCTCCCTCCATCACACCTCCATCCCTCCACTCCATCTCAGTCCCAGCCTTCCTTCCCCAGCTCCTTCTCGCCCGCTGCCCACCCCAGCTCCTGTTGCTGTCCCTACTCCCTCAGCCCCGTATGGTCAGTGCCTGCCCGGTCCCGCGGCCAGGAGCACTCAGAAGTGCCGTGGCTGGGGGAAGGAACGAGCCCTGCCTCCACACGGAGCGCCTCACAGCATCCACAGGGAACAGGCTTGCACGTCCATGGATGGATCTTCTCAGCAGAGATCTCAAACAGCCCCGGGGGGATGGCCACGGGCACACCTGACACTGCGGGGTCCCCGAGCGAGGCCGTGCCCCAGACTGGAACTCCTTTAAAAGACACCACCCAAGTCATTTCCTGTAGGTCTCCTTCCCCGGGGGGCTGACCCATGCTAGATGAACAGGCCCTAAAACCAGCCCCTGTGGCGGGTAACAGCATGGGAAGTTTTGGCCCAAGCTATTCAAGTTTGGTGCAGTTATTTATAACTGAAAGCAGTTTTACAATAAACGAGGCGACAGGAGTATTACCTGTAGCACCCACACTAGAAACAGCAGACTTTCTGGAGGGTCAATGACATTACAAGTCTTTCTTAAAAGTTACCAGTTTCCGGTATCTTTAGTGCACAGAAACCAGACTTCAAACTGTAAGCTTATAAAAACCCCAGAGTGGGGTTCTGATGGCATATGAAAATCCTGTCAGCCTTTGAAAACGCTAACGCCCGGCTACTTTTATGGCCAGGACTGCGTACTACTTGGGGGCATTAACAGCTTCATTACTGCACTTTTTTTCTCTGCACAGGAAAACAACTTTCTACTATTTCCAGCAAACTGCACTAGGGCTTTACCCAGAGCCGACGACGTCTCACTTCTCCCGCACTTTGCATGAGTGCTCAAGAGAAAGACAATCTGGCAGGGGACTGCTGTTTCCCTTTTCAGTACAAACCGAGAGCTCCTTTTCCTTCCTCCTTCTATCAGAGGCAAAAAAAAGCCCGACCTTATCTGCAGGGACTGTAAAAACAAGACTGAAGCAGCCACAGGGCTCTGCATTCCCCACCAGGAACCTCAGGGCTTTAGGCATTTGCTACACTACGGAGACTAATCCTGTGTGTAAACTAATCTAATGTGTAACAAAAGCAGTGATTTAAAACCCACAATGGAGAAGAAAAATCTGGGATTTAAGAGAGACACGGTGTTTAGATGAACATCTAGAAACAAGGAGTCATCAGGGCTTTTTCACGCCACCACCCCTCAGAGCCACTGCGAGCACACCCCAGCGGGTCTGAGGGCCAGAACCAAGCAGCTCCATCAGCCCAAGCCCTCACAGTCCCCAGCTTCTCCCATTGCTTTTCAAAAGAGTTAAGAGTTATCCTTCCCAGCTTTTATCACCGTTTCCAAGTAACATTAAATGACTTGAAGTGCAAAAGGTTTGCAAATGGAATGGAAACGGTGGTGCAGTGATGAGAGATAAGACTGGCACAAGGGGGGTGAGCGCTCAAGAGACAGATCACCGGTTGCACACACACCCACTTCGGGGCAAATGTGTCAAAACTGGCTGCTGCAGAGCAGCAACTCCGGATCCGGCCTTGAGGGCTGACCAAGAGCCAAAGGTGACCAAGGAGAGCTGATACAGGGCCAAGCTGATGCAAACCAGCAGTGGAAAGCTGCTGCAGTTGCCTCCACACCTGATCCCACCTGGACACTTGAAGCTCCAAGAGGGATGGAATTGCCACGGCTCCAGCTCACCCAGGGAGCTGGCGTTTAAAAGCCAAAGCCCCATCAGCAGTGGCCACCCTGGGGTCCCTCCAGATGGGCGTCCTGTCTCCAGCGCCCTTTGCCGGGGCATCACAGGTGAGTGAACGGGGTGGAAGGGGGTGCGGGGCATTGGACACGGCGCTGTACGGTGCATCGGGCTATCACGGAAGTGGAGTCAGATGTGAGTTTGGGAATGCTTTAACATACATGACACTTCCCTCTAATGCTTCCCAGCCTCCAGGGACATTCAGCTCAGGGGCTTCCTGAGCTGGATGTTCTGGGGGGTTTCAATGTGCTTAACATCATCCTGTTGCTCCCAACAAACACAAACCTGCGGCATCTAGAAAAATCACCAGGCAAGGAGTTCCACTAGCCCAGTCACCTCTGCCTCAAGTTCATCCTCACGCTGAGCTGCCAGTGTTGATGCCTCCCCCGTTACTGTACTGCAGGAGGTGAACAACTGACCCCTGACACCCTCGCCATGTCATGTCCCCATCAGACCCCCACTCCCCTAGAGCCAGGCTCTTCCAGGTTGCAGCACTGGTTTACTAACTC